TCTTCTTCTTCTTTTTTTAGTACTGGGGCTTGAACACAGCATGCTTGACCACACATCCTAAACCCTTTTTATTTTTTATTTTGAGATAAGTTCTCACTAAGTTGCTGAGGCTGGCTTTGAACTTGTGATCCTCCTGTCTCAGCATCCCCAGTTGCTGGGATTACAGGTATAGGCCACTGTGCCCAGCCTACTTCATTCTGTCTTAAATCACTTATCTAATTTAGATTGTATCAGTGCTACTGACATGTATAACTAAAAAGAAACAAATTTTTTTTTAAAACAAGATTGTGTCAGTGTACTTAAGCTTATCTGTGATTCACTGGAATACAATATTGACAATTTATAATGTATAAAATATTTTATTCATGTACCCAATAATAGAACATTAGAATTCGAAAAAATCTTTTGAGACTGTTTGCTCAAATTCTTTTTATTTATTTATTTATTTATTTATTTATTTATTTTTTGAGAGAGAGAGTTTTTTAATATTTATTTTTTTAGTTTTTGGCGGACACAACATCTTTGTTTGTATGTGGTGCTGAGGATCGAACCTTAGCCACATGTGGCATGCCAGGCGAGCGCACTACCGCTTGAGCCACATCCCCAGCCCCTCAAATTCTTTTTATATAAATATTACCTATAAATTCCTGACAAGTGTTCAGTATCACTTCACTTCATTTAAATTTAGTATCAAAAAAACCCAAAACAAAACAAAAGTTACTTGTTTTAGGGGAATGGCATGGGTTTGGAAATGAGGTAGCCAGCCTAAGGTTGATTTCTTTTTCCTTGAGTGATTCCATTGAGCCTCTTGGCCTAGTTTCTTTATATTTGTAATTGAAAACAATAAAACATACCCAGAGTATTAACATGATGATTACACCAGATAAGCATACAAATATTGTGCATGTTAATTAGCGATCACTTCATTTTAGATCCTACCTTCATTTCTTGGCCATTTCTGTTTGTGGGATGTGAAAGATCAGCACATGTAGGAGTTGGTGAGCCGGCTCAGATGAAAGGATTCCCCTTAAAAACTGTGTAAGTGTGGGCGTCAGCAATTTCAGATGTTAAAAAAGCACAGCAAAGGAGATTAAGAACAAATGCAAAAATTGCAGGCCCCCTTGTTATCCCCAGTGATGTTCACACAGGAGGCTGTCTTTTAAGGCGCGCTTTAACTTTGTTGATGGATAATCCGTGATGAAAAGCTGAGAATCCGACTTGCCCTTGATCACTGTCTAGAAAGGCTTATTGACAGTTTTTTTCCCCACTTTGTTGTGATGGGAAGAGAGGTGATACAGGCAGTGCCCGATGAGCATTGCCAAGGAAATAAATTGGGCATCAAAGAGACCTCAGGTGCGTGATGCCTCCCTGGGCTTTCTGTGTGTGATGTATTAAGCAGGTAAACTGAAAAGTCATTTTCAAATTGTAAAAATGATGATACTGCTTTTTAAGCCCTTTTCTAATGAGCTCTATTAGCTGAGGCATTCCCCGCTGTGTAGTTTCTCCGTGCTATGGTAGGAAGCCAGTTAGTACTACAGTGGAGCTGTTGGGAGGAATCTGCCAATGGCAGAGTACTTATTCTAGATTATGTAGTAGTGTGCAGACTTTGGAATCTGGTTTCTCCAAGTATGGTCTATGGACCAGAAGCATGTCATCATGTGGGAGCTTTGGGAAGACAAACTCATGCACAATCCCATGCCTCATAAAATGTATTCTTTTTTAGTACCCAGGATTGAACCCAGGGGTGCTTAACCACTGAGCAACTTCCCCAACATTTTTTTTTTTTTTTTGGTGCTGGGGATGGAACCCAGGGACACTTTACCACTGAGCCATATCCCCAGCCTTATTTTGTATCTCATTTAGAGACAGGATCTCACTGAGTTGCTTAGCGCCTTGCTTTTGCTAAGGCATGCTTTGAACTCACAATCCTCCTGCCTCAGCCTCCTGAGCTGCTGTGATTACAGCCGTGTGCCACTGCACCCAGCTTCCCCAACCCTTTTTTAAAAACTAATTTTATTTTGAGACAGAGTCTTATTGTGTTGCTTTTGCTTAGGGCCTAGCTAAGCTGCTGAGGCTGGCTTTGAACTTGGGATCTTCCTGTCTCAGCCTCCTTAGCTGCTGGGATCACAGGCTTGCATGAAGATGCATTTTAAACAAGATCCTCAGATGAGTCCTATACATGTAAAACATTGAGAGTCTTGCACCTGGCCCCAGCTCTGGAGACTCTGATTCAGTGATTCTGTTATGGTGCTCAGGAATCTATATTTTTATAAGGCATCAATTCTTTTTTTTTTTTTGTAAGGAATTAACACTTTCCTTTGAATTTAAGATATAGGGCTTCCTTTCAGTCCTATCAACATGTGCTAACACAATGAAAATGTCTATTCTTAATCCACACAGTGTCCTTTTATAACATGAGCATTTCCTCTGGGAAAATCCAGAAGACTGAAACTTAAGGTGTTTATATTCAGTGGGCAGCCCCTCTCTTCTGAGGCTGGACTACCTCAACAGCACCACTGTATGTTTTATATGTGCACTTTAATATCAAACCTTGAAAAACAGTGGGATATTCACTTGTTTATGTATATGTGTACAAAAATACATCCCCTTATGTTTTACTTTGTGAATTCTCAAGGTACCAGAAAAGAATACACTAGAGAAATAAGAACATGTTTTTTGTTTGTTTGTTTGTTTGTTTTTGCAGGGAATCGATTTCTGTTGAATGAATGGACACATTTCTCTGTGTTTTGGGAGCTCTTCCAGTATCTTTGAGTGCCAGTAGAAGCAATGCTTGTCTCTGCAAAGTAAATCAAATGTGTTTTGTCAAATTAGTCCAAGGAGATTAACCAGCAGTAGAATGAGTGGGAGGTGACCTTAGGCTGAGTTGTAGTTTGCAAGCTAACACTTTCTTTCTGTTATTTTTTACAGGGGTAAATGACCAATTGATTTTGGAATATCTATGACAATCTTCATTCCCAACTATGGAGAACCCTATCAAGTCTGAAAGGCGAAAGAAGTAAGATTGGAGATAAAGGGGAAGGAGAAGAAATGCGTCACCCCAGAGAGAAACCTGAAGGAATTACACTGAGAAAATTACAGAAAGGTATGTTTGCTTGTTGAGAAAAAAATGTTTTATTTACTCCTTGGAAGGGACAAATATGTGAGAAGGGATATACTCTAATCCATATGAAGTAAGTGCTTACAGATGGAATTTAGAAGTACAGAATGTTAAAAGTGGCAGGGTGCTTAGACAAGGTATGGTTTATCTATGCTTAGTAGACAAGGTAACCGAGGTCCTCAGAGAAGTGATCTCAAGAGAGAGAGAAACAAAAATTGAATTGTCATTTCCTGGATTTCTTTTAGAAACCTGGAAATCATCCTTGTTTCCTTTTTCTCTCTCCATCAGCAATATTTTAGTTCATTGGTAAGTTCTGCAATTTGTATTTCCCAACCTATTTGTGGCTCCCACATTCTATCCTAAAGCCTCTCAAGTTCAGAATGCCACCCTACACTCCTCTTTCTCTATACTCTAGCCATACCAGCCTCTTTTCAATTCCTTAAACCTGCCTGCCTCTGTCTCACCACAGGTCCTTTGCATATGCTGTTTCCTCCACTTCCTTGTTCACTGGCCATACATTCTCTGCTGATTCTTGCACCCAGTGCATCTTAAACGTCTCTTCTCCATAGAGGCTAGCCCTAAAACATTTTGTATCTACTTTCCTTGTTGGTCCTATCAACATATACTTAATGTTTTTAACTTATTATAACATCCAAGTGTTTCAGTCTGCTCTGCTATAATAGTTTGCTAAATAGCAAAATAATTATTATGACCATATAATTTGTTGTGCAAACCCAGATATGTCAGAGGTAGAAAATGGTACTATTCATAATTATGCCATGACTATAGACTTAAGCTAAAACAAGCTGGTTCTGTAGCTAGGTAGCTGTAATGATACTTTAAGTATGGAAGTAGGTTTTTTTCATATTTGATTTGTTTTCTTAGGCAAAGAGAGACAGAATAATCGCAATGGAATTTAAAACTTCATTATAAAGGGAAAAAATTACAATCTTCTCTGTTGCATAGAAATGCTTCAGTTCTATTTTAGGGCTAAAAGGCTTTTGGGAAAGGTAAAGGCATTAAAAAAAATGCCTGCATCTAGTTCTCTTACTCCAAACTGCCAGGTTTGGTGGTGCATACCTGTAATCCTAGCAGGCTGAGGAAGGAGTATCAAGAGGTCAAAGATGGTCTCAGCAAAAGTCTCCAAATAAAAATATAAAATAGGGCTGGCGATGTGGCTTAGTGGTCAGGTGTCCCGAGTTTATTCCCTGGTACCCCCCGCCAAATAAAAAAATACTCCAAAGTACCTTGTTTAGGACACCCAAGTTATCAACAAAGTACAAATTATGATTGCTCTTGTTACAAATTTATATAGGGTTTGAGTGATATGCACTAATTTTTTTTATTTTTCCTATAATTCTTGCTATTGTGCTGTCCAGTTTTGTAGGATAAAAGGTTCTTTAGAAAGCAATAAATTGAGCCATAGCAACAATGTGCAAATCATACGTAAATACATAATACAGTGCTATAATTTGTATCTGGAATGTCTTGCAAAGGCCCATATGTTAAAGACATGTTCCTACCCTGGTGCTGTTGGGAAGTAGTGAAAAACTTACAAAGTGAGGCCTAGTGGGTGGCCTGACAATCATGAACTGGAATCACCATAACTATGAGCCAAAATAAACCTTTTTCTCTTTATAAGCTGATTATCTTAGGTATTTGTTATATTAACAGAAAGCTTACAAACCCAACATGTAAGATAATTTTACCTATATTTGTTTATCTTTCTGTGAGATTAAGGAATTTTAAAACATTTTTACATTCTTAGAATTTGGAGCTCATCTAGTCTAGATTTTTGAGTATTTGGGGGTCACATCTCATAGTAGAAAATGCATTTGTTCATATATATAAACATACATATATATAGTTAGACAGACATACACATATACAAAATCATATCAATTGGAATTGTTTGACCCCCAAGTTTAGACTTAAGCTAAAACAAGCTGGTTCTGTAGCTATGTATGAGGGCCCTCTAAAGGAGACGAGATGAGCTTTATTATGTATGTTGAGCTTGATGTTACCAGAGACTATGCTAATGGACATTTCTTGCAGGCAATCAAAGGATTTGAGTTAGAACAATATGCATTACTATCCAATCTGGGAATTGATGAGATCTGAGTGGGAGTGGATCAGAGAAGGGAAAGAGCAGGCACATAAGGACTGGTACTAGGGGAATACAACTGTCTAGAGTGGAGGTAGACAGTGAAGTCAGCAAAGAGGCAAGAAGACACAAAGAGGTGGCAGGAAGCCAGGGCAACGTGGCCCATGAGGAAAACATTCTGGAGAGGAGAAATGGGCCATATCCAGTGTCTCTTTATCTAGTACCTACTGAGTATAGCAGCTTCAGAAAAGCAGGGTCGTTTTTTGTTGTTATTGTTCACTATTTAATCACTGAAACCAAGAGTATAGCATATAGTACAGACTTCTTCTCTTGTCTCTGCCTTCCTGTCTCTGTCTCTTTCTCATAATGCATGTTTTAATCTTTCTTTTTTTTTAATGGAAGAAAAAAAATTGAGTGCCACTTTGAATTTGACACCAGGCTAGATACTTAGGAAGTAGGAATGAATAAGAAATGTCGCTGCCTTTAAGGTCTTCTCGATCAAGTGGAAAATGAAAATGTCAAGGAGGGTGTGCAAGTTATTAAGCTACAGCCCTGCAGCTCCAAATGCTTTCTCCTGCTCTCGGCTTTATGATGCCTAGGTTGGAAGTTTGAAAACCACGTTTCTGCCTTTCCTGTAAGGTCATGGCTTTTGGGGTGTCTTAGAAGATGTCCAAAAGGGAAAGAAAAAGAAGGGCTCTTTTAATTTCTTGTCTGCTTCTTGCTTACTTCCAACAGCATCTGTGTCTGTTCCCTACCCCCTGCAGCACACTCCTGTCAACCTTGCTTCTCCTCCCTGCCTCACTCTAGCCTTGCTCCTCCACTCCAGTAGTGGGTAAGTTCATTTTCCCAGCAGCATGTCAAATCCAAATCACGTTTCTTACAAATTTGCAGATTCAGCTTTCTCCTGCATCTCTCTACATGAACTAGAGTCCCATCCTCAGGGTCTGGGCTGCAACCTGATGGGACTCATCTTTTCAGCTCAGAGAAGCCAATACAAGCGGAGTGGTGCCATTTGCTCAGCAGTCTGGGTTGGAGAGTTGGAGCTCCAGAGACCTCTGCTATAAAATTCTAAGAAATTAAATGTCCAAACTCTTTCTTGTTTGCCCAGGTCTCTGGGTGATAGTTGGTTCCTACAGTTGTGACTGCCAAAATATTTCATTGCTTCTTTTTTTTTATCCTGTCTCAGTTATTTAGTAGCAGGTACATCCTTACTTATATCTGCATGTTAAAATAATTGGATTGTGGTCTCTGCCTTGATTGGACCCTGATTACAGAAACTGGTATCCGAAGTGGTCCCAGGAAATAGACAATCACAGATACATTGGCGAGCCCGGGAGTAAAACAGGTCCAAAGCCAAATGTAAAATTTATACAAAAGGAAAGGGCAATGAGTTTTTTCATTTCTGTATGAGTCTCTTTAATTTATGTGTCTGCAAAAGCAGTGCTAATGGTCATTGCTGTAGAGGCTATACAGAAGAACAAATTAATCCTACAACAATCACAGTGACACAATTGCATTATTAGCAATAAGTAATACATATCAGATGATTTTTTGACTAATGAATACATGGTAAATTTTCCACTGCCTAAGTAGAATCTAATTATTGGGTTTAATTAGAATGTAACAATTGTTCCATTTATGTGATATTATTTATAATGCTGTCTATTTCAGCCCTCATTATTTGCAGAATCATTATTTTAGAATAGGAATTGTATAATTATTTACACAATTGCACTGTGTGTGTGACATGAAAAGGTCTGACATATGTAATGATTAGTGATCTCCCTAAGAAGGAGGAATTATAATTTGTCCCTCTATCTAAATCCTTGAAAATCTCTCCTCACTTACCAGCTATCCCACCAAGAATTTCTATATCTTCACTATACATAAAGGGATTATTCTGTGGTTCTTACCTATATGTTTTCAAATGCTCATTCAATTTTTGCAGCATCTGCATATGGCACATGTTTTTGGCTTCTGCTATAGTAAATATGATTGGTATCTGGGTAGTCACCTTGGTACTTTGTCTATACAAAGAAAATAGTAATTTTCCATAGTGTATTTCCTAGGAAGTACTGAAGAATCAATTTCATATGCAAAGAAATTCTGTTTTCTCTTTCTTCTACTGTGTGTGTGTGTGTGTGTGTGTGTGTGTGTGTGTGTGTATGTGTGTGTGTGAGCGTATGAGTTCACGCACACTAAAGATCCAATTCAGGGACCTGAACATACATTTTTTAGTTGTGGATGGACACAATACCTTTATTTTATCTATTTATTTTTATGCAGTGCTGATGATTGAATCCACTGCCTCACACATGCCAGGCAAGTACTCTACCACTGAGCTACACCCCAGCCCTTGTTGCTTCTACTCTTGACTAGTTGCATGACCTTGGACATAAAAATTAACTTCCAGTTTTCAGTGTGGTTATTTCTTCGAATGAGAAATGAACATTACCTCTTGGTTCCATTGAAGGATGTATTCAGAGCATTAGAATACTATGCATAAAACCTCACCCAGAATACTTGATTATTATGGAATGATATCTTCACTCATATGACAGAAAAACACAGCATTTTATGTACTCACACATTTCTTCCTGCCTTCATTATGATCTGTGACACTCGGGAAACTTAAATCAAGATAAATATTAGAGCAGAAACATGAGAAATTGAGACTGAAAAGAGAGTAGAGAAGATCAGTGAACCCAAAGTGGGTTTCTAGAAAAAATAGATTAAATTGGCAAATTTTAGTTAGGCTAACCAAGATGAAAAGACAGGGGAGTCCAATAAGTAAAATTAAAATTAAATAATGAATCTCCACTAGGAAAACAGTAGGGAAAATGATTCTTGATGTCCACACAGACAGAATAGAACAATGGCA